AAGGATCTTACACTCTAATGTCCCCCCATAGTCAAACACTATTATTTTTATACAACTATATAGCTCTGTCCTACTGTATACTGTAGGGCTGTACAGAGAACACTGAGTCAGTCAGATCAGTCTCTGTACAGCGGAGCTTACACTCTAATGCAAAATACCATCAGCTATAGAGGACTACAAATCTCAGCAATACATAATACAGCAATGCAGAAAAATAGTATATGAATTTGTTACATACTCTGCTGCTGCTCTGCTTCGGGGTGCCGGGCCTGATGTCTCGGACGGAGGGTCTCCGGAGGGAGAGGTGTGCAGGTTGCGGCGCATGCAGAGGCCAGCCACACGGCAGCGTGTGCAGAAGTGTGACACAGAAAGAATAGATACTTACAGTGCACATAGGTAATGTGATGTCTGCCCTCATGCTCTCTTCCTCTGCAGGGAGGGGGGAGCGGCGATGTTTCCTATTCTCAGGTGAAACCTCTTCCTTGTCCCCTCACTTAAGGACCCGCTCTCCTGCTGTCAGCTGGCCAATGGTGGTGCTGCAGTCTCCCTCCCAGCCCATAGCAGCTGAAGTGGGCAGAGGAAGCTGCAGGTGGCCGCCGAGGAGCCTGATCATTGAAGCGGGCAGTTAGAGAGGCAGCTGATAATGCCATTATTCCTATTTAATAATGCCATCATGTATTTACGAAATCAGCCTGTGTAAATATATACAAGAGAATTTGTTTCAGCTTGTAACTCCAGAAAATGCAGTTCAGATAAACACTAGAACCCGAGAAAATTAATTGGTCTCAGTAGAGCATGGTGCTACGGTTAGGAACGTGCAGTTGCTTAAGATTTGACATATGAGCTGCTTAAAAGTATCAGAAAAGTTGTCAAGGAAAAAAAATGCAAAAGCTGTTTGACCCTCTGCTGCATCTTATTATTTCTTATAAAAACATTGAAAATGAATAAAACTGAAAAAACACACAGTTATATGCTTACTTGATGTGTTTCCCTCTAGTGCCTAATCATAGGACACTTTTTTTTTTTGCTTTGACCTGTACCAATCCTAATCAGATAATTTAAGTGCAGTCCGGTACATTCTCGGCTGCAATATGATTCCACAATTGTATTGACAAGTATTCGATAATATTTTCTTATAGAGGATCAAACCAAATCTAAACAATATAGTTACAATTTTTGTTTGTCTTCTATACTAAATTTTTAACTATAGAGAGGACAGTGATCTGTAGCAGCTTTAAATCTCACTGTGTATTTTTGCCCTGGACTTTTGTAGCGGCTACAAATTTTTTTGCTGTAGCAGATGGTAATACTTGTCTAGGTAGCTACAAATTTTACTTTGCTTTCACATGATTATCATAAGATACATTGGATAAAATGAGTACCTGCTCAACCTGGGGATCCGGGAGCTAGTTTCAGACACTGCAAAAGGTTGCCAAGTCTACAACTGAGCTACAAATCGCTGGAACCATTGCGACACAGACCTTTTATCAAATACAGTTCATTTTATTTACAAGATATTCCCTACATAACTTGGGTGACATATTCCTTAGGAGATCGGTTGACCACAAACATTTTTTATCAGCTGTTTGCTCACATTACTTCCTCTGTAGCTTATTCTTATTATTGCTCTTTCTGTTCTATTTAATTGCATTTGAGAACATATGGGCGGGTCCCCATTAAGGATTCGGACCAGGTCCCTATGCCATTTATTTATGATACATATTGCAACTCACCAGTCGTGCAGCTCTGATTTTGTATTCGTTATTTTCTTCAGCAGATACAAAATCCCTCTTTTTGACTTGTAATGGCCAGGTTCAGGAGTTTGTTCCCTTTTTAGTAGCAAATGATTTTTTTCTTTAAGTGAGTGGATGTCATTCATAAGTTGTTTTTTTTTTTACTCATGACTGTTAAAAGTTAATGTTTTGCTACGTACGTCATTGTAGTTTTAAAATAAGAGGGGTTTTTTTATTCTGGGAAAGTTTTATGAAATAAATTTTTATAGAGATGTCTAAGCTTGATTATATTCAGGAAAAACAATTCAGTTGCTTTTGCTAATATGACATTTGGGTTATAGTGTGTTCAGTTTTTTTTAAATAATTTGTTGCTAGCCAAAAATAGAATCTGAGAGAAACTATTTTTAGCTAAACTATATGGCCATAAGTTTATGGACACCTATCCTTCATACTTATATGAGCTTGTCAAACATACCATTCCAAAATCATGGGCAATTAAACATGCAATTGGTTCCCATTTGAGACTATAACAGCTTCAACTCTTCTAGGAAGACTTATCACAAGATTTTGGAGTGTGTCTACGAATTTGTGCCAATCCATGACGGGTACTACTGTTGATTGAGAAGATTT